TTTTTGTTTGTTTGTTTGTTTTTTTTTCCTTTCTTTTTTTCTCATTTTCTTCCCTTTCTCTCTTGTATTTTTCCCAAATTTATTGTTGTACGAATACTTTTTTTACATCCATATTATATTTCTTTTTGTGCGTATGATTTAATTAAATAATGTGTGCTTAATTTTATAGAAAAAAAAAACATTATCATTTTAATTAAAAATTACAGGAATTGTTGATTGAGAGATAGGGAAGAGGGAAAAAAAAAGTATAAAAAAAAAAATGTTTCATTTAGAGACATTTTTATGCGAGTTTACATTCCTGGTATTATTATTATTTTTTTTCGTTTGTAATATTTGTAATATTTGTTTATTTAAATTAATGCGCCCACGTGCGATCGAATTTCGATCCTGCATTATGTTTTATGTTTTATGTTTATTTTATTTTATTTTATGTTTTTTTTTTTTTTCGTTTACTACGTCAATCAAATTTGTAATTATTTGTTGCATTTAATTATTGTAGCATTGTTTTTTTTTGCATTGGAAATATTTTGCATTCTTTGAAAAAGGGGTTAGTATGTTTGTTTCAATCTCATTGTAAATTATTGTATTTCCTTCCGCCATTTCTAATCTTTCCTTCACCTAGTTTTTTTTCTTTTTTTCTTTTTTTTTTTTATCAAACCCCCTTTTTTCTGTAACATTTCTAGCTTACATGCTTTATGTATATATATATTTATTTATTTATTTATTTATTTAATTATTTATTTAATTATGTATATGTACTATACTAATATTATATGTACAATTATTTCTCTCTTCGAATCGACAAATTAATCAAAAAACAATGAAAAAAAAAAAAAAAGATCAAATTTGCATTCAAATTTGTCGATCGTAGAGAGAGAAAAAAAAATAAGTGACGCATGCCGGTAACTTAAAAGAAAGAAAAAAAACAATAAGGTTATGTACGACATACTCAAAAGATCTATAGATCAATATAGATCATCTATCAAACAAAAACAAAAAGAGGAAGAGAAGTATAAGTAGAGTTTGAGGTTATGTTTTTTTTTTCTTCTTTTTCTTCCATTAAATTAAAAATCACAATGACTATGAACACAAATTATTAATTAGTGGATGATGATGGTGATGAATGAAAAATGGATCATTAAAAAAGAACAATAACAAAATATACATTTATAAATAAACAAACAAAAAAAAAAACAATTTCGGTGAATATGCAAAATCGTTTTCTCAACCCTTTTTTTTTTTTTTTTTTTTTTAACATCTCTTCCTCTTCATTTGTAAAAATCTAAACATTAAATTAGAGCGTGTTTTTTCTTTTCTTCTTTTTTTGTTTTTTGTTTTTTTAGGATGAAAGAAAAGAAAAAAAGAGAAAAATTCTTTGAGAAAATTGTTGGATACTTTTTTTCTTGTTTTTTTTTTTTTTAGTAATTAATTCTTCTCTTTCTTTTTTTTTTCTTTTTTTCTTTCTTTTTTTTTTTTTATTAATTGCTAACAACATTCCTCTTCGTAACTCCGTTTGCGTATCCATTGGCATGACCATTCGTGACAATACCGTTGCTGACAACTTCACCAACATTATTCTCCATTTTATTTTCAATCTTCTTCAATTTTGCATTCGATTTGAGCCTCTCCAATTGTCTTTCTGCATACGCTTGTTTACCCTAGAAAAAAAAAAAAAAAACAAGAAAAAAAATAAAAATCAAATACGTTGACGTATCAAATATCCAAACATATTTTTTTACTCTCATCGATTTAATTTTATTTTCTTCTTTTTTATTTAAGAAAAAAAAATAAAAATAAAAATGAAAATAAAAAATAGAACTTTCAACAAAAAGGTTACTTTCTTACAACGTTAAAAAAAATCAATTTAATAAAATTAAAAAAACAAACTTAAATAAAAAAAAAAAAAAAACTGAATAGAAAAAAAAAAATTAAATAAAACTCGTCTATTTTATTATTTTTACTTTTAAGTGTGTGTGTGTGCTTTTTTTCTTCTTTTTATTTATTTTCAAATTCAAATTTAATTTTAATTCGAATAATTTTGTTATTTCGTATTTTAGAAAATAAAAAGGTCAACAGGTGGGTTGCTGAATGTCTGTCTGTCTGTCTGTCTGTTTGTTGGTTGGAATAAAATAATATTTTTCTGATCGTATATTTAATAATATTATTAAAAAAAAATAATTTACCTTGGCAATGTAGGCCTTAGCATAAAAGTTTCCAAACAGTACGATGAATGAGATCATATAAATGACAAGTGCATATTGCATCCAAAGTGGAAAATCGCAACCTGAACGAATACCATTGATACCAAGTATCAATGCAGTTGTAAATTGGATCAATTGTAAAATTGTCAAATATTTTTTCCACCAAAGATATTTCGATACAGTTGGACCCAATGCAGCCAATCCGTAATAGGAATACATTAACACGTGAATGAAACTATTTACCATGGCTGGTAAGAATGCTGTAAATATTATATATAACATTTTATTATTTGATCATAATT